AAGCGGAGCGAAGCAGTGATGGAGGACACAATCTGGCTGATCAACCTGTTCAGGTTGGTGTAGGAAGGACGCTCGATATCGAGGTTCCTACGGCAGATGTCATAGATTGCCTCGTTATCTACCATGAAGGCACAGTCAGAGTGCTCTAGGGTGGTGTGGGTGGTCAGGATGGCGTTGTAGGGCTCAACCACAGCAGTGGACACTTGGGGAGCTGGGTAGATGGAAAACTCCAGCTTTGACTTCTTGCCGTAGTCGACAGAAAGGCGCTCCATCAGCAGGGAGGTGAAACCAGAGCCGGTCCCACCGCCAAAGCTGTGGAACACCAGGAAGCCCTGAAGACCAGTGCACTGGTCAGCCTGAGGATGGAGAGGGAAAGACAAAGTTCATGCGATACAGTTATCTAGTTTACTTTGTCGATAATGGCTCTGAATTTACCCACCAGTTTGCGAACCCTGTCCAGAACAAGATCAATGATCTCTTTTCCAATGGTATAGTGTCCACGGGCATAATTGTTAGCTGCATCCTCCTTGCCAGTGATCAACTGCTCAGGGTGGAACAGCTGGCGATACGTCCCAGTCCGCACCTCATCTAAGGAAACAGACAGACAGTTATTTAAACTGACTCACATACTGCACTGCTACATTTAGCCAATGGTAACAACGCTTACCGATCACAGTGGGTTCAAGGTCCACGAAAACAGCTCTAGGGACATGCTTTCCAGCTCCAGTCTCACTGAAAAATGTGTTGAAGGAATCATCTCCTCCGCCAATGGTCTTGTCACTGGGCATTTGACCGTCTGGCTGAATGCCATGTTCCAAGCAGTAAAGCTCCCAGCAGGCATTCCCAATCTGGACACCAGCCTGTCCAACGTGGACGGAGATGCATTCACGCTGTGGGAGGGGGGAGTCAATTAGATGTACACCTTTTTCTTTTAGATCAGAGTAAAGGGACACAAATTGAAAAACTGCATACATGGGAACAATGCCAACTACTCCTTGCTTTTGGGCCAAACAGTCTTTAAAAAGTATCTAAATCACAAGCATACTAGTTTTCACTTGACTGTTTTCTCCATACATTGTGTTGCTATGCGACAAATCTTTCCTTCCTTAACTACCGATGACGTACGTGCTGTTGAGATTTCAAAATGTGCGCCCTTTTCACTTGGAATCTATTACTGAAAAAACGCTTTAACGAAACCGAATATTCAAGTGATCGTGAACAAAACAAATCTCTCCGTTCACACTTCAACCACTTTCCCATATCTGATCTGCTCAGCATTTACAAGACACTTACTAAGCCTAAAACACAATAACCCCCCTAATCATTTATATATTTAAACCACACCTCTTGCATAACCATCACAGAGTAAAGTAAATGTCAGTATAGAGACATCATTTTCCCATTTCTACTTTGCAGTTAAAGGCAACACTTCCCTCCTCGCTCCTTAGAACTGGGAGGAGGTCAAAAAATGCGGAAGAAACATATCGCCCGTAACTGACTACTAAAAGTTTGCTTTTACAAGGTTTCTTACCATTTTGCTCTTTGGTGTTTACGCTACAAAATGGCAGAAAAATCTCAGTCTTACAAACCGACCGTTAAGCGTCGACGTAACAGGAAATAATGAAGCAGATGACGCTTTCCCCGCCTAGAGAGGATTGAACCATTTCTTGAACAATAGGGTGGAGGTGGATCACTGGTATGCTTAATTTTAACCCCCCAAAATTTAGAAAAGAAAGTTAACCGGCAGGTTAATTCTGAATAAAGTAAAATAACGTATATAAATTAAAATATAATAATTTAACATTATAATAACTAAAAGCGACATTTTTAGTGAATCTATATCTTTCTTAACCCCCTTAGTTCACAAAGCCTTAGAATCGCTCTGACCACATTTCTATAACGGTTTTTACGTACCGCCCGCTGGATGTTGAACGTAGTCTAACGAGCTTGGGAAAAAAGCGTCTGGACTTCTTTAAGTTTCTTGAAGACGTTTCACCTCTCATCCGATAAGCTTCTTCAGCTCTAAAGTTCTCTTAATTCCATGTATATACTAAGATCACTATCAAGTGGCAAAGTTTGTTTTTAGATTAATTTCAAAACTATAAAGTTTATTCAGACTACTATTACGATCCAT